GTGGATCTTCCTGTGCCTGCCTGAGGCCACAGAGAAAAGATCCCGGGGCAAACTGAGCCTTTATTTTTATAGTCAGAGGTAAACAAGGTAGTGGTTACCAAAGTTACACTGTTCTTGTGAGTTTCACTTGTTTACACTGTTCTTGTGAGTTTCACTTGTTTACACTGTTCTTGTGAGTTTCACTTGTTTACACTGTTCTTGTGAGTTTCACTTGTTTACACTGTTCTTGTGAGTTTCACTTGTTTACACTGTTCTTGTGAGTTTCACTTGTTTACACTGTTCTTGTGAGTTTCACTTGTTTACACTGTTCTTGTGAGTTTCACTTGTTTACACTGTTCTTGTGAGTTTCACTTGTTTTTGTTCTTGTTGCACTTCCCTCAGCCCATTAGCTTCCCAGGTAAGATCTAGGGAGCGTCATAAGGTCAAGCCTAATTATGCTTAAGAGGACAGTGCCCTCTAAGCTGGGACTTGTTTGTGACTTTGCCAACAGGTCAGTCTGAGGTTTAACCCTATAGTGGCCCCCCACAATACTCCTCTATACCTATCAGAATTTCTAAAATTAACAAGACTTACAACAGGGTATCAAGGAAGTGAATCAGACATGAGACCATAGCCCCAGTCTTGATTGCAGCCCATGAGGGACCCAGAGCCAGAGGACCCAACCAATGGGAACTGTCACATACTGCTGGTGAGAGTGTAATGTGGTACAACCACTTTGGAAAACAATTTTGATCTAGCAATCCCACTCCTAGGAATATAACCAATGGAAATGCATGGATTTGTGTATCAAGATACATTTTATAAAAATGCTTTTAGCAGTAAAATTTGAAATTACCCCAAACTGGAAGCAAACCAAAGGCCTTTCAAGAGTATTGAGCTATATATGCTCAACAAAATGGTGCATTCTAATGAATAGGAAAAACTATAGCTCCTGCAACAATGTGGAAAAAAATCTCCGAAATATGAAGTTGAGCAAAAGAGACCAGACTCTTACCTCTTCCTTCCATAGAATACTATAATGCAGTGATTTTCAACCTTTTTCATCTCATGGCACACATAAACTAATGATTAAAATTCTGTGGCACATCAAAAAATATGTTATTTTTTTGACAATCTGATAAAAAATGTAATTTCTATTCATTCATACTGGATGGCTATTTTTGAGTTGGCTGTCATCATTTTTTTATTTGACAATCTCAGGGAAAAGATATCAGTGCCTCCAACTAAATAGTCAGGTATTGCATGTTTTAGAAATTCTTGCAGCTTGCCTGGCTAGTGTGGTTCAGTGGTTGAGTATCAACCTATGAACTAGGAGGTCGGTTTGATTCCTGGTCAGGGCACATGCCTGGGTAGTGGGCTCAATTCCCAATGGGGGGCATGCAGGAGGCAGCCAATCAATGATTCTCTCTAATCATTGATGTTTTTATCTCTCTCTCCCTCTTCCTTGCTCTCTAAAATCAATACGAAATATATGTTTAAAAAAATTCTTGCCCTGACCGGTTTGGCTCACTGGATAGAGCGTCGGCCTGCGGACTGAAGGGTCCAGTTTCGATTCCTGTCAGGGACATGTACCTTGGTTGCAGGCACATCCCCAGTAGGGGGTGTGCAGGAGGCAGCAGCTGATCGTTTCTCTCTCATTGATGTTTCTAACTCTCTATCCCTCTCCCTTCCTCTCTGTGAAAAATCAATAAAATATAAAATAAAAAAAATAAAAAGTATTGTTTCCTTTAAAAAAATTCTTTCAGCTTGAAAATTGTTGCTA